TCTTCTTATTGAATTATATGTGATGGATCAGGCTGGTATTTAGGTAGCATGGACACATAAAATACATCATGAACATTAACCAATTCTGGTGGGATTACCAATCGGTAAGCAGTAGATCCAATTCTCTCCAGTATTTCGAATGGTCCAATGAAGCGAGGACTCAATTTTCCTTTCTTTCCAAGTCTCATAAGGCCCTTCATTGGTGCCACTTTCAAAAACACATGATCCCCTATTTCAAATTCTAAACTCCTTCTTCGGTTATCTGCATAACTCGTCTATCTACTTTGGATGATTTGAAGATTTTTCTTAATTAGAACAATCTTGGAGGTAGTTTCTTCAATTAATTTGGGTCCAATTAATTTTCTGTCCCCAATTTCTTTCCAACATACAGAAGATCTACAAGGTCTGCCATAAAATGCTTCATATAGAGTTGCACTAATACTGAACGGATAGCTATTATTATAGGCAAATTCAATCAATGGTAGATGGCCGTCCCAATTTCCTCTCATCTCTAGTGCACAAGCCCTAAGCATATCTTCTAATGTCTTGATGGTTCTCTCCGTTTGGCCATCTATTTATTGGTGAAATGTTGTGCTAAATGATAAGATGGTGCCTAAGGCTTGTTGTAGGTTTGTCCAAAACCTAGAAGTGAAACGAGTATCTCAATATGAAACTACTGATACCAGAATTCTATGAAGTCTAATAACTTCTTTAATATATAATATAAGTTTATATAGAAGATTTGTACCTTTTATTAGTAGAAAAATGGCTGACTTTGTTAATCGGTCCACTATCACCCTAATAGTATCATAGTTCAATCTAGTTCTAGGCAAACTTATCATAAAGTTCATAGTAATGTGTTCCCACTTCCACTCTGTAATTGGTAGAGGTCGGAGTAATCCCTCTGATTTTTGGTGTTCAGTTTTAATCCTCTAACATGTGAGACATTTATTAAAAGATTCGGATATATCTTTCTTCATCCTAATTCACCAATATCGAGGTTGTAAACTCCGATACATTTTGATGATGCTTGGGTGTATAGTAAACCTAGAATTATATGCTTCCTCTAATATAAGTCTCTTCAAGTTAGGGTCATCAGAAACACACAATCTTCCTCTGAATCGAAGCAAACCATCATGATGGACTCTGAAGTCAGACCTTAAACCTTATTCAGTTTCTTTCTTTAAACTCCCTATAGCAGTGTCAGTTTCTTGAGCATCTTTAATTTTCTGAATTAATACTGACTCGATTCTCAAGCTGGCTATATGCATTCCCCATTTGTGAATACCCCATTATAATTTTTATAAGCTCTCTAAAGTCTTGCATTTGGAAGTTACTAGTTCTGGAATCATGCAGGAGGTACTGCGACTCAGTGTGTCAGCCACTACATTTCTTTTCTCTGGATGGTAGGATATCTTATAATCGTAGTCCTTAAGAAGGTCCATCCATATACGCTGATGCATGTTTAGTTCCTTATGCGTGAAGAGATATTTAAAACTCGTGTGATCAGTATAGATCTCAAACGTCTCTCCATACAGATAATGACGCCAGATCTTAAGGGCATGAATAATTGTAGCTAATTCCAAGTCATGAGTCAGGTAATTTCATTCATAATTCTTCAATTGTCTAGACCCGTAAGCGATGACTCTACTATTTTACATTAACACACACCCTAAACCCTAGCATGACGCATCAGTATATACTGCATAACCCTCTGATCCACTAGGTTAGAGCTGTCGCGAGTCGATTTTTGAGTTCTTTGAAATATCAAAATCCCCCACATCTAAATGTACTAAATCTATTTTTAATTCCTTATCAGCTATCTCTATTATACAATTTTTATATATAATATCAGAAAGTAATACCTTCGTACTTGGTGTGGATATCATCAAGATATGCCACAAATAAATAGGTGTAACACCCAATCATTATGCAAAAGTGTGTGACATGAATGAGTGTATGAAATCAGGATCTACTAATACCTTAGCTAGGTTCTTTGAGATATGATACATACCTTGAACCACAAAGGGTTCGCTTCAGCATTTGCTGCAGTAAATGAGTACACTCATCCCCGTCTTTGAGCTTCTGGCTGTTTCTGCCTTTTCGGAGGTACCGAGGGTTTAGAACTACCTGCTTCAGAAGATAAACCCCTTAGTCTACTTTTTACTATTTTTGCTTTCACCAAAACCTCATCATAGGTCTTTAATTCTAGAACTGCAAGAGCATCATATATCTCTGGGTGTCGCCCTCACTGAAATTTTCTCACCCTCTGTCCTTCATCAGTCAAAATGGTTGGAGCAAAACAGGTTTTGTTATATATATCTATATATATTTTATCATGTGGATATTATAGAATGGATCGAATTCAATTTTTTAAATATCAATTAAAATAAAAAATAACAATTTATAAATAAATTAATTAGTCACTTAACATTTATTAAAACATCAATAATAAACCATGAACATCCATCTTCATAAGTTTGCTTTCTCTTCCCCCTTCAAAATTAAAATCATCTACAAAACAAATACAATATGAAAAAAATCAATAATGAGTTACCAAAAAAAATTATTTAATTGTATAAAATTATATTATATAATTCTTATCATCTTGAAATCTTAAACTTATATGATTTCGCGTATTCATTTATCAAGCTAATTTGATGTAACAATTGGTTCATTAGGATTCAAGTGACTGAATTCTATGTTCATTAATTCTAAAAAGCAAAAAAATAAAACTAAAGTTAAAAATGAGTATATATAAAAATAGGATAATTGAGTAAATGATAATACATTGTAATAATTTTTTTGAGATCTTTCAAATCTTCTTTCAAGTTTATCATGGTTCTATTTTGAATGTAATTTTGTGCATAAAATTAAAGCTTTCAACATCGACATTATGAAAAAGAAAAATGTTTCCTCAATGATAAATATTTTTAGGTATTCTTAAAAAAATGAAAAAATATATATATCACACCCTATGACTTAAATAACTCCTACATGTGTATGCCCTTTAGTATTAACTACGACACTAAAGCTACTGTAGTTATGGGCATTATGAGTGCATCACATACTATCAATGTAAGAATATTAAATCTATGGTTATTAACTATTCACGACAACAACAAATCAAAACTTCTAAATGTATGATTTTCCTCCAAATTTTTTTATCAAGTACTTATCTAGTTCATTCTTATTATGTATGTCATCCTTGAATCGACCATTACGCTCTTAAATTTTTATACAAGATGATTCTCATATGTTTGCTTCTAAATGGTAGTAAATGATGTTAGGTGAGATTGAGTTTGACCATTACCTTCTTCATAATAAGGTGCATAAAGCCTTTTGTATTCTTCGTAAAGCTTATAAAGATACTCTTTTTAACTTAGCTAAGATATCAAAAGATTGAAACTCATCACAAAAGTCATACAAGCTAATACTCAACATTTAGAACTTCTACATCGGATCAAAAATAAAACCCATGTAAACCAACATATTCATCTTCTCAATGTTACCCCATATTTATCAAACTCTACCTTCATAGTTGTAGCCTTTTTTTTTTTAAATTTCTCAACGTCATTTTTCTCATTTTTATTAAAAAACCCTTATAACTGACATATTTTTACAAAATTTCATCGATGTCACATAAAAAGTCACAGAAATGCGCATAGTAATTCATAAGAACTTTGCAACACCATTGATAATTATCATGCTTTGTATATCTCTCAAATAATCTTTCAAAATTTTGTGATGCATTCAACATGATATATGTTCAATTTCGTCATATTTGAACATCAAGAGATAAAAGAGCCCAACTATGTATTTTCTCAATATCTATACATCATTCAATGTCATTATTTTATATGTACAACAGGTTTTTGCCCAACAAATTTAACTGTTGTACATATACAATTAATGCTATAATTGTTATCCTTTAAACCGTCCCATATAATTAAATTAATAACATTATTTTTCCATATAACTTGTTCTTCATATTCCAATTTTTTAAACTAGTTAACATTGAAATATATATATGTATATATTTTGAAATTCTAGTATGTCATTTTTTCTCCAATAATGTCATTATTTTCCTTGATGATCAAGTCGGTTTATATCATCAAACGTTGTTGTTATTTCTGTCGAATGTCAAAATCTTAAAGGTTAATACGTAACCATTATTAAATTCCTGACTAATATATTTCACTATCAATTAACATGTTGAAATAAGTGAGAATTTCTCTCCGGAAAGAAAGCTTAATAAACATATTTATATCATCAAAACAGTTATGAATCGCTTGCTTCTCAACAAATCTAACCAACTCACGAACATAACTACGAAGAAAAATCGTATACACACACAGATATATATACACTCGATCAAGCTTTTGATGGAATCAATTCTTTGGAGACACTTTGTAATGTGCAAGGTTTTTTTTTTTTTTTTTTTGAAAAGAAAAAGAGAGAATGATTTAAAACACAAATAAAATTATGATATTTTCATTAATCTTGTGTTTTTAGTCTCTTTCTATCATAAATGTGGCTGAAAAAATAGTGGTGATATGTATGTATGTATGTATATATATATATATATGGCTTAAAAGAATGAGGAGAAGAAATTGAACTGGAAAACAAACAATATTATTCAACATATCTTCTCAATCATGATTTATAATTCTAGAAATGATAATTGATTTAGTGAGCCCACCAACCCCAGAAATTGCAGGCCAAATTTAATGTACTGGTACAAAATAAAGGAAAGGCCATTCAATTTAATCATTGGTACCCCAAATCAAATCCCATCAATCATTAATCTCTGATTAAGACCTCCATATCATTATTCTAACCACCCACCAATACTTGCAAGAATCAAATTATTAATTTAATCTCACAAAAAATAATAATAATAAAGTATTCGGCCCAGCTCTGTACTAACCCATCTAACTGTTCGGATCCACCGGCCCAAAAACTCAAAGCTCCTAATTCGTTGACTTTTTTATGCGTCACGACTGTCAGAGGACTTCCCCTCCCCCACGTTTCCCCCACGACGCAAACCAGACGAAGCAAAGGATCGCCCGACCGATGGCGCCACCGGCAACAATTCGGTGGTGCGCCCTCGTCTCAGCTCTGATACTCTCCGTCCTTGTCTCTCCCACGATCTCCATTTACTGTGACGAAGACGATTGCTATGATCTATTAGGGTCTGCGCCTCAATCTCATTTCTTCTTTTAAATCTCATTCTAACTGTAATTTCAATTTACGTTGTATTCTTCTTCTCTTTGGAGGTCAGAGTTTCTCAAACCGCGAATGCATCAGAGATCAAGAAAGCTTACTACAAACTCTCACTCAAATAGTAAGCTACTTTTTCCGGTTAATTCTTATCGTTCTTCATTTTGCGGCTTTTGATTCATTTGTTATTTGTTTTTGATTCTTAACTAGCCACCCGGATAAGAACCCGGATCCGGATTCGAGAAAGTTGTTTGTCAAAATAGCTAATGCTTATGAGGTATGATTAATCTTTGCTTTTTCTTTTCCTATTCTTTTTATTCGGTAATCTATTTTATCTAACCGGAATCGAGCTAATTTTTTTTACAAGTAAAGCTGATTCTATGTAATTTAGTTCGTTGGGGGAATTTAATTTAGCGTGTCGTATTAGCTGCTGATTGAATTTTGGCATTATTGCTTTTAACAACTGATTTTCAAGCCGCTTAGTTCTATGGAAACACTGTATGTCTGCTTAATTAAATTCGAATGGATGAATTACTGCCATAACTTTTTATTCTGCTCTAGCTAGCATTGGTGATATTTAACCCGCCCTTTTTTTTTTTAGTTTGCTTTTAAACTGCATTTTCTATATTTCCTCCTCTTTTTACAGTGAAAGGATTTCATGTTGCAGATTCTGAAAGATGAAGCCACAAGGGAGAGGTATGATTATGCGATTGCACATCCAGAAGAGGTACATAGGAGAAACCTGCTAATACAGATTATAATGTTAATTAATTGTGGATTAAGGGAAATGACGTGTCTTTGGGGAATATTATGTTTATTGATTACTTTAAGATGACCTGAAAACGTGGAGATAACATACTATTTAGAAAAACAAAAGAATCATCTTTCGGCTAATGAATCACTGCTTCGTGTTTTAAATTTCTTACGATGTTGTTTGAACGTATTTCGTATTTTTGGTGCTTATTAAATACTTTAGCTTGAAATAACTAGTTTCAAGATTGAGGAAATTTCCGATTATGACTGAAATAACTAGTTTCAAGATTGTATAATTCAATTGCTTTTTTTTTTTTTTTTTTTTTTTTTTTTTCACTTTTTAGGTATTTTACAACACAGCTCAATACTATCGTGCATATTATGCACACAAGACGGTAAGGATTTTGCACCATCACCTTTGTTTTGTGGGCTTATTGGGGTTCGTTATATTTTCTTACGGAAAATAGATGGAGCTTTGTGTTTGACTCGTATGATCTGTTAACACTCATTTACTTTCTAGGATCCTCGTGCAGTCCTGGTTGGTCTTCTTTTGATTCTTTCAGCATTTCAATATCTAAATCAGTGGACAAGGTACAATCAGGTATCATGAGGTGTTCTCAAAATACTTTTATATCCCAAGTATTTTTCTTGAGGAACTTTTATATTCTAAATACAACTATTATCTAGTTTGAGAAAACTTTTTGCATCATTATGTTGCCCTTGTGCTAAGTTCTGCCATGCTAGTGTCATCTGGACTTGCTCTGCCCTATTTACCTCTCTGAATGTCATAATAGTACTTGTTAATTGTTAGAGGGAGTAATGAAGTTCCTGCTGCATAAAATGAAAGTTGCTTTGCACTGTTTCAGCATTATAGCTTTGATTGGATAAATATTTGGATCACCAGGAATGACTGGTGAAATGTCATTGTCACATTTCTATTCAAAAAAATTTACCATCACATTGAGATTATAACAAAGTTAAATAACAAACAAGAATGTTCTATTATAGCTTCTCAAATGAGTCACTGATGGATTAATCTATTTGGTAACAAGTCCCAACAAGGAAGCATGGTAATATAGAAACTATAAAAAAGGAAGCCTTGTAAGATGATAAATCATTTTCTCCTTATTGACCGGAAAAGTAAGTTTTCTGTTGTTTTGTAAGGCATTTTTATTTTTTTATTTCCCATACTCATCTATGTGTACTCGTGCTCATGCCGACACAGACACATGTATACCTATACATGTGCGTTAATTTTGTGTGTGCGCGCACTTGAATAAGGATAGAAAACATTTATTATTTTATAGATGTATGAGCAAAATTCATGCATGTTTTCATTTTTGACTACCATACATGTTAATGTAAAATACACAATATATACATAAGAATTGAAAACACTTTTACATACTGAAAGGAGCCTACAAGTTGTATGACAATCAGTAAGATAAAGATATGGACGGTAGCCTTATGATATTGTTGTGAGATATTTACGTAACTCGTAAAATGTTTTTCTAGTTCCAAAAGTTGTATATTATTGTGCCTCTAATTCTTTCTCTTTATGCAGGCTGTAGCTATGGTCAAGAAGACACCTGCTTACAAGAATAAGTTGAAGGCATTGGAACTTGAACGCACTGGTGGAAATACAAGTAAGAAGAAGAATCACAAGCAGATTGACAAGTATATCTTTTTTCTATTTTTTTCTAAATAAGTCAAAATTGGACATTGAGGACGAGGCTTTATTCTGTTTATGCTCTCGTTTCAGAGTTAATTCTTCGGTTAATTGGGTGTTCTGTAACTTTTGAACTGTTGTTGAAACAATTTGAACCATATTTTTATGGCAGGAAAGTGGAGGAAGATCTCAGCAAAGAACTTGATCTGCAGATCAAGGGAGCTGAAAAGCCATCCTTCTGGGCACTAGCTGGTGTCCGTTTCATTCTCCTGCCTTACACTATTGGCAAGGTTTGAATACCATATTATCAGTTAAATTTGCTGTAATTTTGTAACATTATTTGACAGTAAGGGCGATGGATACAGCTTTGTTTATTTTTTATGTTTTTGTTTGTGGTTGATCCTTGCATCAACTAGTTGTCAGAATAAAAGGATTACTTATTGGCTTTTTGTACATTCAGCTTTTGCTGTGGAGTGGCTGTTGGTTTTGGAGATATAATGTGAAAAAATTACCATATTCCTGGGAAGATTCCTCATATCTGACACGGAGATCCCTTAAAGTGCCTCCTGATGCGTGGATGAGTATTGGTGCCTACTTCTGAATCTACTCTTTCTGTGTCAAAAAATGCATTGCCATGCTTGATTATGAATCACATTTAACTGTCTTTGGTCCCACTATATTAGCTATGACCAATTTATTCGCGGGATCTCGCATCTGTTTGAACAAATAGAATGAATAGATTAACACCATTGGCTTTTTGAGTTCGGTGCCATAATAATCTGATATTCTTTTTCTTTCACAGATGAATCAAGGAAAGAAGACCTTGTTCAGAGACGGCTATGGGAGAAATCCAATCTGGAGAACTACCTGGCAGAAATGCGAAAAGAATCAAAGCGCAGAAGATAGCAGATTTTCTTGTCTTGCTATCAATTGGCCTTTCAAACAGAACAGCACCTATTTATGGTAGAATTTGACCAGTATACAACCCCATAATACTACAAGCAACATTGATATAGTGGAATCCATTCTTTTTTTTGTTTTGTTTTTGTTTTTCATTTTGCTCCCTAAGCAATTTGGCTGGGAGGAGGGAAGTAGAAAAAGGTACAGTAATCGATTCATGGTTAGTGTTGAGGAGTTGTCAATTGCTACGATTAAATTACCGTTTTGAGTAGTTTGTTTCAGGACTTGGGTTGTATAATGTCAGGATGATTTTATATTCTTTCTATCAGTAAATTCATCAAATTATATTTTTTTAAAACACAAGTTTTGAAATACCAAACGAAACGAGACAATTTTGCAGCAAAACGACACTCGCCGCTTGACCCATTTTTCGTTTTTTCCTCTTCTCGTATTCGTAAAAACTAAAAATGTGTAGGGGTATAAGATGAAAAATAAATTTAATGTCTGAACAAAACGGTGCGTGTGCGACTATCTTCTTCCTCCGTCTAATAATGTTCAAGCTCAGTCCTCGTGAAGCTGGCAACTCGGCGGGCGCCAAGTTATTGGCAGCTTAGACAATCCTTAAGCCTGCCAAAAGCTAAAACCCATCTCTAACTTTTCTTCTCCAAAGCAGAAGTTCAGTATTCAAATTATCAACTTTAAGGAGATTTGCACCCTCATGCGCCCATTCAATACCCATCACCAATGTCTCGCACTCAGGTACATGCACGCTTCTCTTCTTCAAGAAAAATCTCTGCATCATAGTCCTCGAGTTCCTTTTTCGCTTTAACGGATTCCTTTTTCTTTTCTGGGTTTTTGTTCATTAAGTTCGGATATTTGGTTCCACTAAACGAGAATTTAGAGGAAGACCTTTCATCGCAAAAGCTGCCTCTCGTACACGGCCTCAACACTATCGGCCGGAGCAACATTCCCCTTCCCGACAAGCGCCTGAGCCGCAAGCACCTCACTTTGACCGCCGGCTCCAATGGGTCCGCCAATTTGCTCGTGGTACGCAGAAAAAAAAAAAAAAAAAACAACAGTACCTAAGTTTTTGTTTACGGGGTAATTTTTCTAAAACCTCGATTGTGATTTCTGTTTTGACTACGGAGAGCGATTTTTAGGAAGGCACGAATCCGGTTGTTGTTAAATCTGGCGATCAAAGGAAGAAGATTTCTTCTCGAGAGGAAGCGACGGTTGCTGATGGCGATATCATAGAGTTGATTCCTGGCCACCATTTTTTCAAACTGGTGACGTTGGTTCGCCATTGTGATGCATCTTCTCAGGGAAAACAGAAGCGAAGTGGTAAAAGTGATGACAACAATGGGATTAGAGGAGGTGAAGAAACAAACAGGAAGAAAGCAAGACAGGTACGAAAAGATTAAAGAAAATTTGATAATTTGCTGAAGCGCTTTGTTTTCTCAATTATTTTTTTCTGGTGCGTGTGTGTTGTATTGGAATATCTAGGCTGAGTTAGGCAATGGAGACAATTTTGGAGATTGTGTGGAGGCAATTCGTAATTTTCAAGTCTCTGGTGATAAACTTCCATTGACGTTTCGGCTAATGAAAGTTAAAGGATTGCCAGGGTGGGCAAACACTTCTTGTGTTTCCATAAGCGATGTGATTCAGGTGAGGAAAAAGGATTGACTCAAATACACTTTAGCTTCGAGATTGCCATGTGTTTCACTAGTTGGGCCATAATGTGTTATGCATTGCTTGCGGAAACATGGACGACTCAATAAGACTATAGCAGAGTGTAGTGGGTGAAAATTGGAGAAAGGATTTGATTGTGATAATTAACTGCTTATTGTTCACTTCAATGTTAGGGAGATGTTCTTTCGCTGTCCTTTCAAATTACATGGTAGACATGGATTGGTTGATGTCTGGTAAGTTGCTTTTCTTCTCATTCCTTATTCTGCTATTCAGTCACCAATTACTGTTGTGCTTCTTTCGTATACTGGGATGACTATACTTACTTGTGTGTTATTGCCCTTGTTCCTATTTAAACTCGCTAGAAGTTTCTATTGGGAGTTTGTAATTTAGGTTCGATGATGGCCAGTGTTTGAGGCCTTTCTCAGATATCTTTCTTGTATTTACCAGGCTTATTTACTTGATCAGTTATTGTTCTTGCCATCATCTGAAATGTTTTCTCAAACTTATCTGGTGCAGCATGTCCAAAATTGGCTAAAATACCCAATATGTTGGTTATTCATGGGGAAGGTGACGGTACACTGGATCATATGAAGGTTTTTTCTTAGCTTTAACTTGTATTACTTTTCTTTCCGCCTCGAACATGTCGACCTCAATTCTCTCGTTGATACTTATTTTTTAGAGAACAAAGCCTTTGAATTGGATTCTACACAAGCCCCCGTTACCTATTTCATTTGGAACACATCATTCAAAGGCAATGCTTCTTGTTTATCCTCGAGGGATAAGAGTTATAGTTCATACTGCAAACTTAATCTATGTCGACTGGAACAACAAAAGTCAAGGTCTATGGATGCAAGATTTCCCCTGGAAGAATCAAAATAATTCAAGCAAAGGATGTGGATTTGAAAATGACTTGATTGATTATCTCAGTGCATTGAAGGTTTTGTATTATCTTCTCATGAAAATATATATAGAATAATATACTCCACCAATTGTCTTATCCATATGTGGTGTATGTTAATGCTTCATTTTCAAATGTTAAACAGTGGCCTGAATTCACTGCTAGTTTACCAGGTCTCGGCAACTTCCAAATCAATCCTTCTTTCTTCAAGAACTTTGATTACAGCAGTGCTGCGGTATAATTGAAATTCATTTTTAATTTTTCTATGCTTTTAGAAATTTAAATTCATTTTTAATTTTTCATATGGTTCAGAAATTATGATTCAAGTTTAGGTAGTTCCTTCTTTTTATCTGAGCTTGTTTATACTTTTCAGGTCCGAATAGTTGCATCTGTCCCTGGATATCATAAGGGTCCTAACTTGAAAAAATGGGGGCATATGAAGCTACGCACTATCCTCCAGGAATGTATTTTTGAAAAGGAGTTTCAGAATTCTCCAATAGTTTATCAAGTATGTCGACTCCTAGTTCTTTTATCTAATTGTCCTGCTGTAGTTGGGGATGGATGCTCGTCTTTATTGCTTGTTTGGAACCAGTTGCAAAATCAGTTAATTTGTTGTTTAATAAACTTTTCTCCTGGATTTTATTTTTAATAAATTTCAGAGGTCTCCAATAAATTATCAGTTTAATGAACTTTTTATGTATTTCTCCTGCTGTAGTTGGAGGTGGATGCTAGTGCTTATAGCTCTTTTGAAGTCAGCTGCAAATCATATATTGTTTGATGTACTAAAATTTCTTTTATTCTTTCATATTTTCTTGACATTCTTTAGTTTCACTTTAGTTTCAGGACTGGTCGTATCTTTTAATCCCTCACTGTGAATCTTATGATGTTCACAATTGAATACGGTGATAATATTTCACATGTATTACGCTGCATCATGCAAAATATCTTTAAGAAAAGAAGATGGTTGCTTCATTTTTTTGTTTTCAGTTGGGATTTTTTGTTTCTCCATAACTTTCTATGCTAGCCCTCA